ATTGACCACAATATTCCTCTTTAATTACGAGACTGCCACCTGTAATTGAAAGGGAGCTGACTGCATCTTGACCGTCGGAATTGTAGATCAAATAGTTCACATTAATTCTCATTTCTTTCATTGTGCTTCATTCTCGTTTGAGCACACTTCTATATATATATATATAAAGTACTTATTTCAACTACTTTTTTTGATTAATTTTAAATTTTAAGAAATATTTTAGCAAGCATCCGTGTAATACACGGGCATTGTACTGGTAACTATTTAAAAAGATTCAATATAACAACCTTCATGTTCAACAATTGAGTTTCCATTTAAAAGGAAAGCATCAAGTTTTTTTTTTTTTCTTTTTTTACGATGATGATAATCTTCAATATGTTCTCAGTAAACCCTCTATAGAGAGAGCCAATTTCTTGCGGGTTTGAGGCAAATAAAAAATATTGGGCAGCAAGGGAACTAACTTATGTTGGGGCTCCGTCGAAATTCGTTTGGAATAAAAAAACGCGCGAGTGAAATCCTAGAAAAAATGAAGACCAACCAGCTGTAGGTCGTCTGTGGTATGTACCTCATGGGTGTGGAGATGATTACTATTTGAGGTGTTTGATAAATGTTGTTCGTGGTGCAACGTGTCATGAGGACAACATGAAGGTTGGAGAGGCTCAGTATATTACATATCGAGATGCTTGCTACGAAAGGGGTTTGTTGGAGGTCAGTGGGCATCCGTAGACTCTCTAAAATGCATGTTCGCATTATTATTGGTTTCTGGTTCGTTTGGTAGACCGAAGGAGTTATGGATAAGATGTTGGCAATCTATGTCTGATGACATTCGTTACAGACAGTGTCGCATATTCAATAATGATGGTGTTTTATTTATTAATTATCTTCTATTCTAAATATGACGTGCCTTGCATGTTGATATAAAAGTTTATATTCTTTTCAATTGTCGTGTTGCTTACTTATCATTTTTTATTTTTAGTTTTGTTGCTTACAGAAGATCAAATCTAGAATTTAGCCCTTGCTGAGATTGAGTAGTTATTCGACGGCGTGGAGCAAGTCTTAGTGATTATTCTACTATGATCTATCTTGATAGTGACAATATGCATTCAACTTCAAACTGTCTGATTTTGGATGAGTTGAGCTTCAAGCGAAAGGCTCTTGTTGTTGAACATACTATGCTTCTTGAGAAAATGACTGACGAAGGTAGAGGAGTTTTCTCAACAATTATGTTGTCCGTAGATTCTGGTCAAAGCAGTGTTTTTTTTATTTTTATTTTTTTGTATACGGTTGTGTTGGAACAAAAAAAACTTATTTATGGAGAACGTTATCTGTTGGGTTAAGATCCAAAGGTGGTATAGTGTTGTGTGTCGCATCGAGCGGAATAGCATCATTTTTGTTGCCTGGTAGATGAATTGCTCATTCTCGATTTGGCATACCATTGAATCCCTCTCACGGAGTGATAATATATTCTTCTTTGATAATCTGTGATGAGGCTCCAGTGATGCACAAGCATTGCTTCTAAGTTGTCTAGGCATCATTGCAAGACATTATGGGAGCAATTTCTCCTTCCAACAAGGACAAACCATTTGGAGGCAAACCGATTGTTTTGGTGGAGATTTCCGACAAATTCTTTATGTAATTCCAAAGGGTAGCCGTCAGGACATAGTTAATGTTGCGATTAATGCTTCTGACATCGTCTAGAGGAGTTGTACGGTGCTCAGGCTTACAAAAACATGCGTCTTTAGGGCCTTACAGATTTCGAGGAACGTGATGAGGTTGTTTGGTTCGCTGAATGGATTGTGAGAGCATTGGTGATGGAACTATAGGAGGGTGAAACGATGGTTGTGCAATGATAGACATACCTGAGGATATATTGCTTCATCCATCTGATGATCCGATTGCTCAAATTGTAGAAAACACATATCCAATGTTTAAGCAGACAACCGATGATTTCAGTTATTTGAAAACAGGGCAATATTAGCTCCGACGTTGGATGTTGTTGAGTCTATCTATGAATACATGACATCGCTGAATTTATCAGATGGTAATGCGTACTTAAGTTCTGATAGTACTTGCAAGTCGGACTCTAATAATGATTTTCTTTATGATATCCATATGCCTGAGTTCTTGAACAGTATAAAATGTTCAAAAATTCCAAATTATCAGTTGTATTTGAAGATTGGAACTCTCGTCATGTTGTTGCGGAATGTGGATTATTTTATGGATTTATGTAATGAGATACAGTTGGTTGTGACAAAACGTTTCACTCATATTCTCGGGTATAAGATACTCATTGGGGATAACGAAGGCGAGAATGTGTTGATTTCTAGAATGGTTATAACTCCTTCCAATGTCAGAATTTCCTTTCTAACATTTTCCTATTATGGTCTCCATGTCATGACTATCAACAAAAGCTAAGGACAATCGCTATCGCATGTTGGTTTATTTCTTAAGAAGTCAATGTTCAGTCATGGGTAATTCGCCACCAAATCAAACAAAAAACGTTGTGCACAAGGAATTGTTCAATAATTTATGAATTTTTAAATTTGTTTGACCCATTTACATCTGTTACATATATACAAAATCCACTAAATTTAATGTGAATATTAAAAAAAATTCAGAAAAATATATCATCCAATACATCCACATATCAAGACTAGTTGTAAAGTATTAAAATTTGATGTAAAATCAAAATTTCGAAATATTTTGTATAGGTTTGAGACGAGTTTAGCGGTATGAGAAATATGTAACTCAAAATCCTTACTCAATTTTGAGATGAGTTTAATGTTTCATCATAAGACAATATGAGTTTGAAAATCTCAATTTTTACTCATTTCCATTACCAAGTCATTCCTAAATACAACCAAGATTTGACTCACTAATTCCTAACATCCACTCAAATGTGCATAACAAGTTCCAACTGTAAAATTAAAGGCAAATCCAAAGCTAAAGTCTCAAATTCGGTGCACAATAATTAGTTTTTAAAATAAGAGAAGATAAAATAAGCAACCACCTAATTAATTTCACACAATCAGACGGAGGCCTGCGTAACTTTTGCCACACCCTTACCCGCATTTTCCGGACCCATGCCCCCACCTTGTCGAATATGCATATCCATGCCCACTCCACCCACTTGCACCGGCACCGGCGACGCCCCCATCACACCCCCTGGCGCGGCGTACAACACCTGTCTCCCTATACTGCCATCGTACACCACCTGCGCGTACCCCGCCTGCGCCACCATCCCGAAACCATCCGAGTATCCCGCTGCCCCTTGTGGCGGCGGCGGTGGTGGCGCCGCCGCCGCCTGTGGAACCATGTTGTAAATCTGCTGCTGCTGCTGCTGTTGGTGGTACAACTCCGGCGGCATCCTCTGAACGGCGTAGTATCCCTGAGCCGGCGCTCCGGTCACCGACTTCATCACCGGCGGCGCCTGATGCGCATTCGATGGAGGTGGAATCATGTATA